AGATTCTCAGCAATTACGCTGCAAGTGTGTGGAATTTTGATGAAAAACTGACTGGAAATTCTGATGCTAAAAATATATTTTGCAGTGCAAATATTCTGTAGTTTCAACATGTATTGTTCAATCACGAGCTTTAGACTGATGTACAGTGTAAGTTGTGTTCTTCTACATCTTCTAATCCGTTTTAGTTTTGATCTGTTAGTGAAGAAAACTTTGGAGCTAGCTAACAAACTACAGAAAATCAGTTTAAAACCAAACTATCCCATTTGTTTTCAATCAGTGAAAATTAGCTTAAAAAAGGTAAACACTAGCTTAGCATTAGCATCTGTTAAACTATCTATGCCTGTCTTGTTTTAGTTCCACAGAAATGTAACTTATTTAATAAGCTAGCAAGTTCATTCTACAAGTGGTTGGTGCAATGCCTGCTATTTGTTGGCCAGCTAAGCCAAAACAATTAGTTTAGATCAACAAAGCACGACTGTTGCCAAGCTACAAGTCTTTATTTCTCTCCATCTTCGAAATGTAGATGTTTGCACACAGCTAATTCTGCAATTGATCTTTCAGAGGCCATTTGATGTGGATGTTGCAACTTTACCTGGAGGTAAAAGCTGTGAAATAGGAAATACTTTTGATATTCCAATGTCTGCTTTTAGGAACCCTTATTCACCAGCAGACACATACACGCTCTCTGTCACACACACACATGACGGCGATGACTCTCCTGTCAGCGAGTTGCCCAGGTGCTGCATGACTGAATAAATGTGGCCTAATTCTTGTCAGATGTCACTTGTTGTTTTTTTCGCCTTAATATTTGGCAAATTGCAGTGATTTGGAGTCATAAATTTGCCATGCGCAAGTTTCTCCTCTGACTCCAGCAGACATTCCCCATTCGGCTGGCACTGCTGCGGCTATACTTGCAACACTATGAGACAGCCGGATGTCTCCCGGAGAGAGTATGTGTGTGTGTGTGTGTGTGTGTGGACCTGTCACTCTCAGGTTGAGTGATGTTGATGTGAGCTCAAGTGGCATGACTGTGGCTCTCTATGAGGGAGGTATGGCACAGAATCCAGACTGGAGGGGAGTATGGCGAGTGTGTGTGCGTGCGTGTATGTGTGTGTGCGTGTGTGCATGGCTTGGCAGATATCAGATGAGGGGATGTCATGCCACTCAAACTCTCTCTCACACACACACAAACACAAACATCCATATCCAACTGCAGCGAGCATGAATGGTCATTCAGCTCCAGCCAGCAGTATGAAAACAAGTCAAAGGGAGGAAGAGGAGGGAGGAATGGGGGGAGGGGGGGGGTGAAGGATGGGGTCTCGGGCCAAAAGAAACACGGTGGGCTCGTCTGTCCTCCTCCCTGTCCTGATGAGCACCCCAGGCAAATATTCTGTGAATGAGAGCATATTTCGGGGGGTTAACTTCCCAATTTACCCTGTGAAGAAGGAGGAGGAGAGGTGACTCATCTCATGATGTCATACAAGATGAAAAATTTTAAATGAGTCTCAATATGTAATAGAGGACGTATATTTTGGCCTGCTTCTTGGTCTGGTACTGCTATTACTGTACAGCAGCGCTGGTTCTCAGCCCTTTCAGCGTCAGCGATGTGATCCAACAAAACAAAGCAGTGCACTTTTCAATTGCCCAGTGAAAATGTCTTGCTTGTTTGTGTTGTCCAGAAAGCCCTTTAACAATGCACAAGACATCTGTGGCGAGGCAGGAATGGATGACGGTTAACGGAATAGTTCAGCACTTTAAGAAATGCACTCATTACGTTCATGCTGAGATATAGGAGAGAAGATTGATACCGCTGTAACGTCTGTACACTAAGTATGAAGCCACAGCCAGGAGCTGGTTAGCTTAGCTTAGCATGAAGACGTGGAAACAGGGGGAAACAGCCTGACTGTCCTGAATCCACCTACCAGCGCTTCTAATGATCACTAATTAACACGCTGAAACCTCAACTTCACGGCGATGAAAAGGCAGGAAGTCACTGCTCTCATCTCCCCTTTAACCACAACTTGTCATCTTTACACCCGTTTTGCGTTGATTAAACAAATGAAATATAACGTGGTGTAATTAGTGAACTTTTGAGGCGCTGTTGGGTGGATTTTTTTAGATAGAGCTAGGCTAGCTGCTTCCCCGTTTCTAGTCTTTGTGCTAAGCTAAGCAAACGAGCTGCTGGCTATAGCCGCATATTTAGTGTACAGACATGGTATCAATCTTCCTATCTACCTGTCAGCAAATGTGTTGGTGTTGGTAGGCTGGTTTTGATGAAATCTAGCTGTCTCCCACTGCTTCCTGTCCTTTTGCTAAGCTAACTAGGCTACTGGTATTAGCTTCCTATTGATATATGGGTGGAATCGATGTTCTCATCTAACTCTCTGAATTAAAGCACAGTACGTATTTCTCAAATGTGTTTTTCCTTTAACCGTCCAAACTTAAAGAACGTGATGAGCTGTAATATTTTTACAGCGAAGCTATAAAGAAGAAAAAAGGTTTAAAAAATCCTTTATTCCACAGTTTTATTCATAGAAAAAGTTCAAATCTTCATGGAACATAAAGCCACAAGCTTGTTTTAATATTTGAGCTTTAATGACCATTTCTCTACGTTCACTCTCTCCACACTCTGTACTTTGTTTAGCAGCTATGTTGGTAACCAGGCTGACGTGTGTGGGACACAGGGCCTGGACATGCTCCTTTGATCTCTGCCTGCAAAACCGCATGATAATGAGGTGACTTTATGATCATTGAGAATTTATGCTCATTGGATATAACAGTTTTCAATTCAACAAATTATGAACCTTGTCCGCCTGACATTTTCTGTACTTCTCCCATTGCGGGAAAGCCGTTACGTGAGAGGTCTCATGAAGTTTGCCGTGGGTGTGACAAGTACTCATACGGGTTTAATAAATTACCTTTGAAGTGGCGGCTAATGACTCTGGTGGGGCAGTTTTGGCTCAGTGGCTATAGCTGCTAGACAAGAGGAGTCGATACGGAGCTGGGGCCTTTTGGCTGACGTATTTCCACGTCTCCAAGGCAGGGAGGCACAATGTCTTCAAACATTAGTGTTATAAGTCAGATTTTGTCTCTGTCCCTAAAACCAAAGATCAAGGCTTCAGTAATCAATAATAAGACGAATACAATGACGATATTTTGCACAATATTGGAATGCAAAGACCTCAATGGATCCAGATGGAGGGGGATTCAATCCTGCGACATGAGGTGAGGATGAAACTCATTTTTCTTTAATGCCAGATGCCGAGTGTTGTTGCTTTCGCTATTTCATTTTACGTGATGAATTTTTTGGAAGAAATGTAAATTTCATGCAGAGAAACTTGCATCGAAGAATTGACCGCTCATAGCAAATGTGTATGCAGTTATACCAAAAAGCTTAGCTCATAAAAGGTTGGGGTGGTGGAGGAAGTGAGTGATAGCAAGAAGTATCGTGTTATAATGGCTATGCTGTACATCATGAATATGATTGGACGTGACTGGTCAGCTGGTAACCACCCAGCTGCTCATTGAGCTACGGATTGTGGAGCGTGACTGTAACGGCTGATGTTATTCAGCTCATTCCTGAATGCACGCCGTGCTCACTTTTTCTCAAAATTCAACATTGTGCACATTACTAAAGATTATTCAAAATGATTAATTCAATTTTAATGACCCCATGAGGAGTTTGACTGATTGCAGGAACACAATCCTCATCAGACCAATCCGTAATAACCAATAAGCTCTCATTGCAGAAGAGTCATAAATGAAGTGCTTGAAGTCCTCACACCTAAACAGTAAAGTCTGTCATTGCCGTCCAAAACGACTCAGTATTTTCTGATCTGACGCCAGCTTTGGTTAACTCCAGGCAACTAAAACTATCAGGCTACGGTTAGGAAAAAAGTATGGTCATGGTGAAAGAAACCGAAATGTAGCTGTTAGTGGCAGATTGGATGTGACCTGTGGTCTCCAACATCAAAGTCATGCCCTTTTGTGCCCCCCAACCATCTTCCCTGACCTCCCTCCTAAGAGGTTTTGTGGCGCTATAACTACGTCGAGCCACTTTCAGGGCCCCACCATCCCAAGGGGCCGGTTGGAAATCAAGCCTCGGCCACAGTCGCCTTTGCCTCCGAGAGAGACAAGTCGTTACTCGCATGACCACAAGGCCGCTGCTTTGTGAGGAAAACACAAGCATTGTGTCGTTTTAAGTGTTTGATCGAATGATTAATGCCGTTGTTTGTGCTGGTGAGGACAGCCTGCAACACCATCAAAAGAAGACTCACAGCCCCATTAGAACCAATTAGGCGAGCCCACGCTGAGTGATAACACAGTTCGATGGCTCCCCGGGTGGAGACAGATGCTATCTGGCTCTTTCGTTGACACGGCACAAACTTTAAACACACCAGTGTTTTACTGAGGGGGAGCCCGGTCCCTGCAGAGTCCTTTATATCCGATGTAAGACAACTGCGGTGTCAAAGAGCCCCTTGTGATCCCCCTCGGGACCTGTAGGTATTTTAATGGCTGTCTGACCCGTGGTGGCTCTATAGCCTGCTGCCATCTCTCTCTCACAGGGAAACTATTGTGTCGCAGGAGAAACACAGAAAGCAGAGGAGAGCCTAAAAATACGCTGTTGAATGCTTGTTACTCAATCTGTCCAGAGACTGAGATGAGCATCTGAATCTAAATCTAAAGTAAAGTCAAAACTTATTGTGGGGTTTTTTTTTTTTTATCCCTAAAAGAGGTGATATGACTCTGGGACAGCATGTGTGTGTTTTAATGTTAATTCCTTTATGTTAACCTCTGCAGCTTTAAAACCTGTTAGGAGGATATTTGTGCCTTAACCTGAAATAGTCACACCACTTGAGTGGATGCTGCATATTTACAGCAGGTTTAATATTCTCGTCGGGAACTGCTCTGTTCTTAACTGTGCTGCTCATCAGAACTCGTAAGCAGCTCACCTAAAATGCGGGGCTGTCTTTCGTTGGCTGTGCGCTCCGAGGCGTCACCATCTGACATCCAGCAGCAGAGCTCTATGCATGCGACCCCCGAACCTCCCGGTCTCCTCCCATTGTAGAAACAGCTGTAGACCGTGAACCACGGAGTGCGGGTCTGACACGGATTACCTGGATACCTGCTGGAAAGCCTGGGTGGCATTCAAGCAGCGAGAGACAGAAAGGCAGCGCTCCTTCTGCTTCTTTTCTGGCTGAAGTTTCTCCGCTTTTCTTTTTTAATGGGATCTCCTCCAACAACATCAACCATGGCGAGCCGTCTTCTTCACACTCTGCACATATTACTGATTCTGGAGTCGAGCTGGGGTAAAATGGTTTCTGAGGATCTCGGTGAAGCCGCGCGTAAAGGTGCCGACGTCTCAGCGGCTGTGGAGCAGCGCGTCTTTGCGCACGAAGGCGCGAACCGGGACATGGTCTCCATCAATATGTTCAAAGTGTACGAGAAGTACAGCAAAGAGCCGCAGAGCCAGAGGGACGGAAACACCGTGAGGAGCTTTAAGGCTGTCCCGAGTGAGTGGCCACAGCGTTTATCAAGTTACCTTACAGGAGAGAACTGGTCATCATAAAATAATCAGCACTGCACTTCAAGGGAAGTCTGATTTAAAATAGATACAGTTCTATTTATAACTCTCTGCTTATCTATCAGATATTTCCAGGTAATATTATGGACCGATACATATTGATTGGGCATTTTGTTAAAAAGTCTAAATTAGCTCTCTTCCAGAAATTTTAAAATATAGACAAACTGTTTATTTCCTATTGCACTTTAATTAAAATAAGGCGAATCAGCATATTAGCTTAGTCTTATTTACAAACTCATTTTAGAACGTATAACAGTTTTATGATACTGCTTATGTCCAATGTCGTTTTGGCTTCTCTACTTTTATTTTACTCATTTTTGCACATTTCATTCATGAACTGTTTACATACTAAAAATACAGAAACGGGCTGAAGGTTTACGTAAAAACATGAATAGTCTAATGTTGTGAACAAAATAATCCCTTGAGATAAGGCATTCTGATCTTTATAATATCGTCAGTGCAGCTTCCTAAACGCAGGTTGTTTCAATAACATAGCTGCTCTCGCTTCCCACTGGTGCCAAACATCACCACTTATATGCTCCGTTGGTGTTATGATTTAGTGATCCGGGGGACTTTTAAGTCTGTTAGTTCTCCGGTAGCTGCAACGGCCTAGGTGTTACACAAGAGCCTATTATGACACCCAGACACCGGCTGCACAGCAAAAAGCCTCAGAGGAGCTCTTTTTGCCATAAGCATTTCCATATGCCCGCGACAGACCTGCTGGACCAACCCAATGTTTGTCTTTCAGGCTGTGGTGGAAGTGTGGGAGACGAGGGTGAACTTCAAGAGTATAGCCATCCAGGATGAGGCTGTTGTTCGTGCGCGAGGCAGGCACTCAAGCGTGCTGGGCTTAATATTTTCTATGCTGCTGCTTATGTCAGTCAGATGTGTTGAGCAACATTTTTGCAGAAAACGTATTGGATGTCGTTATTCATGTCAGTCAAATGTGACAGAATGATATGATAGAAGGGGGGGGGGGGGGGGAGGTACAAGGCAGCAACATGATCGCTTTAGTAATCTTCATTGTTCACTTCAGAGGTAGATCCTCTTTCAGGTCTTTAGCATAGGTTTGAGAAAACATCTGTTCTGGTTAAACCAGAGAGTCCTTTTTAAAGCCAATAGATACATTTGAAAAAGCACGGAAGAGAGAATGAAAATAAGGTTGTCTTTTCTCATCAGTTTTCTATTTCATTTTTCAAATTCTCCAGGAGTCTTGCATGGCAAAGACGTGTTCCAGTTTGACCTGTCCACCATCCAAGAATCAGAGCTCATACTCCTCGCCTCTTTTCATTTCCTCTACAAGCGGCCCCGCCACCACCAGCGACCGTGGCGTTTCCAGAGGCCTCGCCACCCATCTGGCGGCCTCCAGCATCCCTATCCTGCCCCCCCGGAGCTCCTCTTCCACGGATCCTCTTCCACAAACTCAGCTTTTGCGACACCGCTCGGGAACATAACTCTGGCTCCTTTCAAGAAAGGCTCTTGGCAAACAAGGGATGTAACGGCAGTGCTGAAACATGCCAGGGATGTCAAACAGCTCGTGGTCACGGTGGAGTTTGAAATGGGCTTCGGGGCGGCTCGGGGGCAGCAGAGGAGCCCTCACGGCCAAGAGCGCCTCTCTCCAGCCAACCTGCCGTATGTCTTGGTATACGCTGACGATCAGGCCATAGATGAGCCGAACAGCGTGGCCACGTCGCTCCAGAGGTACGGGCCCTTCCCTGTGACGGAGGACGCGTCCCCCTCAGCCTCAGCCTCAAGGATCCGGCGGGAGCTTCACCTCCAGATCCAAACCAACGACATTCCAGAGGTCCAGTACAACACCTTGAAGAATCATGAGCTGTGGCAGAACACGTACTTCCCGGCGAAAGCCAAAGTGGCAGTGAAGTCAGGAAGGAAGAGTCTGGAGAGCGGCGAGGGCCTGGGAAAGCCCCAGGTGCTGAGCTTCGATGAGAGGACGATGAAAAAGGCCAGGAGGAGACAGTGGAGCGAGCCCAGGGTTTGCTCCAGGCGCTACCTCAGGGTGGACTTCGCTGACATCGGCTGGAGTGAGTGGGTCTTGGCGCCAAAGTCATTTGACGCCTACTACTGTGCAGGGGCCTGTGGATTCCCCATCCCTAAGGTTACTGGGCTCATCTTCATTTTGATTCAGATAATAGAAAATTCAAATCTTTTCAGACATCATGTTTATCTATTTTTCCCTTAGTTTCCACTGTTATAATAGTAAATTCTGTCAGCGTTAATCCCATTTACTCCCACTCATTTCCTTTAGGTGGCGCGTCCTTCCAATCACGCCACCATCCAGAGCATCGTCAGAGCGGTGGGAATCGTCCCCGGCGTCCCCGAGCCGTGCTGTGTTCCAGAAAAGATGAGTCCCCTCAGCGTCCTTTTCCTCGACACAAACAGGAATATGGCGCTGAAGGTTTACCCCGGCATGTCTGTGGATACCTGCGCCTGTCGGTAGGGCCGGAGACGGCGGGACGTGCGATCAATGAAGATGAAAGGTTATGAGGAGGACATACAGGTAGAGCATATATATACATCAGGAGGGCATTTTTCACATCGAAGAGGACACCAGTGATGAGGACAGCGAGAGGACGAACTCTTGAGTCTCAGTTTGAGAACTCTGTCGTGAAACTCTTCTCCCTTCACCCAAAAGCAGTTTATAGAAGTGCACTTAATACAAACCTGTTGCTGTAATGTATTGACCGTCTGGAGGTTGAAGTTAAGTAAAAAAATGTATGCAGATAGATCTTCATCTCTGTTCATCTCTCAATAACTTCTTTTAGTCTTTTTCAGCACACTTTCACTTTTATAAAGTGATCTTCCCGGCTTCGGTGTTAGACGAGATAACACTTTCTTCGGTCTCAGCCTGGACTCAGGCCTGGTTTTTGGAAATGTTTCCAACTCGACCAAGTTCAACGTCTGGGTTTTCAACAGTTCCTGAAACCTTCGGACATCAGTATCCTCTGCTGCTTGTCCCCGTCGGTAGGATTGAACTGAAATTTGGACCAACTGATGAACTGCACACTGACTCACGGACTCAAGAGGGTCTGAGGGACACAGAAGCTGCACGGCAGCACATTTACATCCTACCAAATGAATCAACCCTCGTCATGTAAATAATGTAGTTACTAACGCCAACTAAAATGGTACTTATTCTTAAGTGATGTCACCTTGTTGCCATTGAACACCTCCCACATATTAGCAAGGGACGTTATTCATGCGTGAGAGGTAATATCTTCTTTGAACTATATTCCCATAGCCATTTGTTTATCTTGTATATACTGAGTGTGTTTTGAGCCTACTGAGACGTGATGTGTCGCTCGCTTCTGAGGGAGAAGCGGTGCGTTGCTGCCACCTGCTGTGCATTTTGGGAAAGTTGAAGAGACTAAACCATAAGGAGAACGTTTTACATTACATTACATTAGTCATTTAGCAGACGCTTTTATAGACGACTTAAAATTCAGATTATTTTTTAGCACTTCCTGTTGCTACTCAGTATTTCCCTTCGATACATAAATACTATTCATCAAAGATATAATTTAGCCTACAGTTTGTAATGACGGTAGATTTCCATAGTAAGTTAAAAAAAAAGGGATGAATGTATCGGACCTTATAACTGTATGGCTCAAAGTGTATTTGAATAGTTGTGTGATGTGTGCTTTGACACATCGTAGACATAATGTATGCATGGTAAGGAAATAAACTGAATTGTACATACGGTCAAAGACACTTGCTGACTTCCTTAGGTTTCACAACAAGTATAAATCACAGACTTTGTGTGCATTTGACATACTATACCTTGCTACTATGTATATACATTATAACACACATATGCATATATATATATATATAGATATACTTACTTATATATGTATGTATGTATGTTTATATATATGTATTTTATATAACAGAAATGTGTCAAAGTGGCGTGATAGTGTTGATTTATTCTTTAGTATTGTTCATTTTGTAAGGCAATTGCCGGTTTTTCTAACTGTGTTGATAATAGTGACTCCGCCTTAAAGCTGCACTTCTTTCAGCGCTTTGTTTTCATCAGCGTTGTTTCCAGTCAGAGCAGGCAGCCGTTTTCAAATTTTAAAAAAAGAAAACGTAATAAACCCACTTTACTTCATCAGTAGAATTTAGCAAAAATCCACATATTTTTCACAGCCGTTGAAGGAGACAAAAACCAGAGCTGGGAGGAGAGTGAATATTGAACTTATTTTCGGCAGATTGACAGAAGCACGGTTGCTCTCTGTGTCTCCTGGATGTGGAAATAAGCAACTATTTGCTACCAGTTTGACAAAATCGACTTTACACGGTGATAATAAGTCAATGATGTGTGAAGAGTTTTGTTCCTGTTGAATGCTGCTTTAAAGGGCTGTTAAAAATATAACAGCTAATTGGAGAGTTTAAATGTTACATGATGTTCTAAATGTTGTTTCAAAGCTTTTTGCGCCGTGATAAAGAAATTCTGGATGAAACTTCTGAATTGCTTGACTTGGAAACAGAAACCTCTGTACTGACTGTTGGCACCAGACATTAGCCATTGCAAGCCTCATCAATATCAGCCATCAAAGACCAGTCTATCTGCAAATGTTAGTATAATTAAAGTACAGTTTTGTACTGCATATTTTTCTGCCAAGTAGTTTGGCCAAAAGTCAAATGACCAAAGTTTCACAACACATAGATCTCAGTCCAGTTTTCCAGTTTGCTGTGTTTGTTTTCCTCCTGCATGTCGACATTATTTGTTGTGTCCGTGCCAGTTGGTCTTGTCGTCGCCTTTCATCACTGATTGACTCCATAGAGAGGAACTCTCACATGCTTAAATGGGCCATAATGAAAGCAATTCTATGAAACCCGGCATGAACCGAGTACTGAGTGGCTGCATTGTAAAAGAGAAATTCCAAGAAAGGCCGGACTCAGGCCAACGTCCCCTGACACATTGGCTTTTGGTTCCGGTTTTAGCTGTGTGATGAGATAAGCAGCAACCTGGAGTGAGCAGGCTGGCGCTGCTCGGCACCAGTGGGCAATTGTGTTTAAAAGCACGTTTAAGGGGTATTGGCATAGAGAGGTAAAGTCCTGCGCCTTCCGTTAGACCGCCATGGCACATTACTTCGAAATAAATATGTACGATCATCAGCAGGGCAGCGAGAGATGTAGTTCACTGAGCAGTTTCACACAAAACTAAATGGCACTAAAACAAACGTATGACAAAGTGTGACTTTCTTGAGGGGCTTTTAAATGATCTGTTAAATTGACCAGCATGATATGTGGCCTCTCAATTACAGTGGAAAAACAAGGGTCTTGCGCATTCTGTGTTGGTCGGCTCAATATTGACCTCTCCAAAACTCCCAGTGGCATTGCACTAAATGATGCCATCTACAATGCTAATGATGTTAGCAGCTGATTGCTACTTTTTTTAGACACTGCATGCTGATGTTTTGCCAAGTAAATATCTTTGTTGTCTGGTCTGGGTGTGAGGTCCATTTGAGATTGAACAGTTGAATTTAAATGTCCACATTATGTGATATTAGGTATGTCATTTTTAATTCACAGTGCTACTTGTTGCATTTGTGACTGCTCTTTGTCACTGACTGGTTTAGATCAATTCACTTGCACATTCCTAAAGCCTTCTGAGTCTGTCAGATAGAGTAGGCTATCTTCCTTATCAGTGCCTTTAAAGGGACCACAGTCAGCAGACATTTTGGTATCTGGAACATGTGCGTTACTTGCAATGAGTGGCTGGATAAAAGGTTAAACAACACTAACTTGTAAGAAATATTTAACAATGATTGTGGTGAAGAATGCAATGTGCTGTTTCTTTTAAGTGTTTTCTTTCCACTGGCCTCAACGCTGTCACCCTCCAGCTGGGAAAAGGCATTTTATGGAGATGTCTGCTTGTCAGTAACCTCACAGTATCCAGTGCCTCTCTCATTATCGCTGTCAAGTGTTTACAGTGTCTTCATTAGCAGCCAGCCCTCTGGTGATAACAAAGCTTAAAAGAAGGCATCAATGGCAGTGATAAGCTTGGCCAAGCTACTATTTTGGTTGACACAAGTCCCCCTGTTTACTCTGGGAGCATGGGAGCGGACATCAGGACTGTGGTCCTTGCATTGGGGATCTCCATTTTCCAACCTTGCCGTCGCAAAGTCTGTTTTCAGGCCGGGCAGAAGGTAAAGTTTGTGCCAGCTCAGGGGATTAGAAAGGACCTCATTTCAAAATGCAGAGCTCCAGATCCTTCCTGCTCCAGGTTTGTTTGTGTCTGGTGGTTTGTATGGACTCCTGCACCTGTAAACCTCTCAATAATGACATCCAGAGTGAGGACCCCGAGGGACTCTACTCCCAGCTGTCAGAGGAGGACCTTCTGGAGGAGGAAGACGCCGACTCCAGGATGGAGAACCTCCTGGGAACAATGAAGGAGGGCTTTCTGAGGAAACTCAACCTGTCGGACGTTCCTCAGGAAAACAGCAAGATCTGCCCTCCTCAATTCATGATGGAGCTCTACAACAAGTACGCCTCGGACAGCTCGGCAAACCCTCAGTCTGATGTCATTCGAAGCTTCACAGTCCAAGGTACATGAACAGAGTTTAACTTGTCATGCAAGAAATATGATGTGCAATTATCTTAATATTGTGTAGCTTGAGGGAGTCACTTCCTGTTAATAAAGATAAGTCTTATTCTGGGGTCTTTTTTCCCTTAGTAATCCCCACAGTCAGAGAGTTCAATATTTGGAAATCACTACATGCCAAATGTATATTTCGGTTTTCTAATTTATATAACTAGTTTCTATGCAAATTTTTTACTGGTAATATTGTTCAATTAGGGATTATTTTTGTGGAAAATTTCAAATAAATGGCCATAATTCTAAAAAAATGTATTGCACTCTTAAGTTGAGCATGGTCGAGCCCTGTAGCCTACAAACTTTGATAAAACACACTTTAGTGTTGGCTGTCACTCATTAGCAGATTATATTATTCTGTCAATATTCAAAATTTCGAAGGATCACATTGTGTGATGAAGTTTGTCTTTCCCTCGGAAATTAGAAGCTAGAAAGCCAGGCTAAAAAAAGAAGAAGTGAAAGCTAGCTTAGATTGCTAAATGTAACACAAATTCATTTAATTTCAGTCATTGGCAGCTCCTGCACTCAGTGTAGTGTTCATCCTACATTATAGAAAGCAGGCAGTCTAGCTAGTGTTAGCTGTCTCTCTTTTATGGGTCCAGGCCACAGTCCAGATTGTTAAAAAATTGATATTCCTGTGACCTAAGCCTTTTGTACTTTACTCTGTTAGACTGCAAATAAGAAATGGACGTAGTCATTGTGACGTCACCCATTGGTTTGTAGAATGCTGTTTTGAAGCCTTGAGTTAGCTATTTTGGCATCGCCATCTTTGATTTTTGCAACCAGTGAATGGAAGTGACCATGTCTGGACTGCAGAGGAGTGTTGTAGAAGCGCAGTGTAGGGCTCTGGTAGCAACCTGTCAATCACGAGGTAGCACCGCCCTAAATCCTACTCCGCTTTATGGTCTATTGTATTCTAAATGGGACTATAATTTACCAAATATACATCATGTTGTATTGAAGAAGACTTGAAACTAGAGAATGAGACCATAAACTCAGGTTTACAATGTTTACTGAGGTAATAAATCAAGTGAGAAGTAGAGTCATTTTCTCATAGACTTCTATACAATCCGACTCTTTTGCAACCAGAGGAGTCGCCTTCTGATGGCTAGTAGAATGCAAGTCTAAGGCACTTCCGCATTGGCTTTACTTTTCAGAGCCGGAGGTTGCAGCCTGGTCACTTGTATCATAGCACTAACATGCAGAGTCCAGACGGAGTCATGTAGTAACATACTGAGTGCTGAAATCACAGATGGGGCAAACAGCACAAAGCAACCGCTAATCGTTGCAACTGCAGTAATATCGACATTATTTTGGACCAAATAAGTACACAAGCCAAAACAAACCCCAATGAGACATATCCTACTGATTTATTAAGAGAAAAATAATTTTAAAATCAGTCTGACATAATGTTAGGCAGCGCAGATCTCAGCGTCTGTCTTATATAAACCCCTCTAACCTCTTTGTATCTATCCAACAGATATCCCTCTCTCTGTGACAAATGGAACAAAGTCAAAACACAGGCTGCAGTTCAACGTCAGCATCCCCAACCATGAAAAGATCACTACTGCCGAACTGCAGCTCTTCTTCTTCCCAGAAGCCAGACCAAGGGTCACCTTCCACAATTTCAAGGCCACCATCAAAGTCTATGAAGTAGATTACAACGATTTCACATCCACCACCCAACTGCTGGTTGGAAAAGAGGTGACAGGCTTGGAGAGCATGTGGGAGACGTTTGATGTGACCACAGCTATTCAGAGCTGGATCAAGTCGGGCCATGGAGCAACTGTTTTTGATGTTGTGGTAGATAGGAAGGATTGTGGGGCCTCGAAAGGCGGAGAAGAAGACGCAGGCTGTTTGAATATGAGCGTGTCTGTTGGAAATAATACTTCAGCGGCTTTAATAGTCTTCTCAGATGACCTGGGTAGCAGGAGGAGGGAAACAAAGAAGGAATTAAGAGAAATGATCCTCCACGAAGAAGAAACCATCTTCCACTCCGACGCCGACTGGAATAGAGGAGATCAGCTTCCAAACGAGATCCTGGAGGTTCAACATCCACGGAGACAGAAAAGAAAGGCAGAGACGGAATACTGCCAGCGGACCTCTCTCAAGGTCAACTTTAGGGACATCGGCTGGGACAGCTGGATCGTGGCGCCTCCAGAATATGACGCCTTTGAGTGTCGAGGCCTGTGTTACCACCCGCTGACAGACGAATCG